TGTAGATAAAAATAAATAATTATAAACTATCAAAATAAAAGTTCAGAAATGAAGCCTCCTAAAGATGGTTAAAAAGCCATTAGATGTTTAAAAAGAGATGCTGCCCAAATCGCATGTATGACAGATACTAAGACCTGACACATAATGGACAAAACACTGCCAAAATTCAAATAAGCAAAAATTTTAAGGTTTTATAGCACATTAGAAAATTTCAGAGCACAGAATTACTAACAAAATAAGTCAAATTAAGTGCTCATAAACAAAAAACACTAACATATTATGGTACGGTCATTTTGTTTCTGTGAAAAATTTCAATCACTTTTTTAAAGTTTGGGTCAAGTTATCCAACTTCCACCTTTTCAGACACAAATAAATGCCTCAAAACGTACTTTAATGACCCTGAAGCTCAAGTAGCGTCTGTTGAGCATGATGATTTTATATTCATTGGTGCCATCATCCATGACATGCCGCAGGGCAAGCAAGGAGGGCGAATTGGCAAGGACTGCGCTCCGCCACGCGGGGTCCCCCTCATGGGCTATTACGAGGTTTTTTTCATGAGACACGATGGCTTCATAGAGCACAGTAGGGTCATCATATTCATCTGGAGAAGTGAAATGATCCTAAATGCAAAAATAAAAAATATATGAGGTTTTTAGGAAAAAAAAAGAAACAATGACTTCCAGGATGACAATAACTTCTATAGTTACTAAGCTACTAAGAGAAAGTTCTTAAAAACTGATTTAATATGACCATTTCATATTAACACATGTTAATATTGTTAGAGCTATATTATAGATTCTCAATCACAACCAGGTTAGGAATTCATTCATTACTGCTATGCTTATTTTGTAGATTTCTCAATCTAATCCTCTTCTCTAAGTTCTAGATAAACAAATATCATTTGTAGTTTTTATATATTTTCTATGTTTTTCTCTTTCAGGCTGGTTTTTCATATCTTTATTCATATATATATTTTCTGTTGAAAGATTATTTCTTTGTTAGTTAAGAAAGGCTAAAACTGCATAAAAGGTCTTTGTAGTGTGCTTCTTAACTAGGCACTTTTCATATAAAGCCACACCTTTAGAATGGTTCTAATATACCATTTTATCCTGCCTCTCATCTAGTTAAGATACAGCTGAAAGCTCTGAGCTTTGAGTGCAAATTAATGGTCCTAGCCCTAGAGAAGTTAGTGAAGTCTTCCCTGCAAAGACTCTTGGTCGCAGTAACTACTCATTCATTTGATAAACGGTTATTCAGTATCTACCATGTGCAAGATTCTGTGGCAAGTAGCATAGAAAGAAGTATATGAAATGCATCTCCCTTTTCTAAACCTGCAAATTAATAGGGGATACAGGACATATACTGAAATAACCATAACAGAAATGTGAATTTTTGAAATGGTGTGTTACTGAAGAAATGTAAATATTATCTTGGCTGCCTTCGTATTTACAGTTGGGAGGTTGACGATTTTTGTATTCAGGTAAGGTCACTCGTTTGTACTCAAGCCCACCACTAACATAGGCAATAATGCCACAGCCAAAGGAATACGTTTGGAAAGAGACCCAGCAGGATAGGTAAGAGTACCTGCGAGGAGAGACTAGGGGTAGAGACCTAAGGCATTAGAGGCTTTGAACTTTGTGCTCAGTTTCTTCTTAGACAAATGGAGATAATATATCTGTCATAACATTTAGGATTAATTAAAGAAGTTTGTCAGAAGCTGCTAGATAATTATACAAAATACAGTATTTCTTACATGGTAGCTATACAACTGGTACCTTCTGAGAAATTCTGAAGTTTTAAAAACATTTTAATCTGAAGTAATTACCTCTTTTTCATTTAAATGCACTGAATTTTGTCTCAAAACTCTAAAGCTAGTTTGAAGATGGACCATTTTATTTGATCCCAAATGAATATTTTCCCCATCATCCTCAAAATAGTAT